TAACATCTTGTGTTGTTCCCATAACCTGCCAGACTGCATGAAAACCGGAACCGTTGCAAGTTGTCGCATTCTGGGCCCATAAGAAAAGATAGGCTAGGAAAATAACTCAAATAATGTAACATCAAGATCATGTATCATCTCTCAGCATGATTACAATAGCTACGGTACCATTTCAGGAGCAATTCAACTGATAACTGAAATTTAGGGATGGATTACTTAAGAGTGAAATCTAGAAAAAGTAAGTTTCCGCTCGATCCAACGAAGTGGTGCGGTTTTGCGCACATGAACTGCAGGTGCTAGAATATCATGGAGCCTTGGCTTGATTAGATGGTTTCCTAGACCGTAGAAGCAAGGGGACAGTGCGACAACAACAGGTAATCCGGAAAAGAGATAGCTTTTCGACAGTATCGAAAGCTGGCAGTTTGCTAGTAAAGTCATAATGCCAGCGTTAATTTTTACTTAGTAAACGTATGGCATTAACACTTATGATTTAAGATTTTTGTGCTGGAATGGCATAATTGATTAACATGGTCCTTTTAGCACATACAAGTATCATATCAAAAATAACGCCACTATGGCTATAAACTAGCATTGCTTTCAAATCTGCAAAAAACATACCAAGATAAAATTTCAAGTTTCTAAAACAGTAATGAACAAAATATTATTACCTATAGTGAAACAGTTTGAGAAGCAGTGGATAGAGAGGAAAAAACACCAGCATTACAGTTACGTGCCATGATTCGTAAGATTGCATTTATCGATATGCAGGTAAATCAATTACTATTGTCGTTGGCGAAATGAAACAATTTCAAGCATTTTTAACAGTACTGATAGAGCGTCGAATAACATGCATTTACAGTCTAGAAGTTACTGTCTTATGAAGTCTGCAATCCATCGAAAATATCATCCGAAAGAAACCTAAAGAAATTAAAATAGTGCAACCTTCTTTGTGCATAAAGTATTTCTTGCATTATTTTCCCGTATTACGACTGAACACAGAATTGATGAAAAAGCAAGGCTAAACAAAAATCGAAACTTCTTATAACTATATATAGCATAACTTACAGTATTAAGAACTTTATTTTATGTAAAAACGGCACAGATAGTCTTACCGGTGTTTCAGGACAAATTTAACGTTTCGGTAGGCGAAGGCCAACATCCACGTCGAAAGCACCGTGAATATTATCCAATAGACAAGGCTGTTGTACGGCTCCATTTGATGAATGCGCCAAAAGAGCCACAACGGTACGACGCTAACGACGAAAGCGTTACCGTAGAAGAGAGCTGAACTTTTCGTTGAAACATTACGAGAAAAATCCTGCAGCAGCAGCTCCTCCTCTTTCGTTAGCTTAGTACCTGCCATTTTCGATCTTAAACAAGTCACACAACATAAACTTTAAAGAAATAATCGAACGTACGCAACCTCGCGAAAAAAACCTCGTGACTTTCATGAAGATGTTAAAAAAATGCACAGAAATATCAACGGATATCTGACTCCGCTACTTTAATAGTAGACAGCAAGAACATGTATACTCCAATAATACCAGAAAGTGGGATGAGCGCGGAGGGTCTGGCGGACAAAATGATGCGAGATGCATCTGACACTGCGTGTGCTCATACACTATCGAGCCATAGCCTGTTTGAACAGCCCACTATGAGCAAATAGTCAGTTCAATACTCCATGCAATCTGGTCTATTTCACTGTCAGATCTGGGGAGTCATTCGCTGACATACAGGGGCGTACGAACAATTAATGTTTATAAGAAATAATAAAACAAATAGAAGCTTGGGTTAATCATACCACGCAGATTTAGCCAAACAATGAGTAACAATCAATATAAAGTCAGAAACAGAAGAACTATTGAACCAGTCGAGATGCAATGCAACGTGTTCAAACTGGCCAACACGATCAAACATATGCGCGCACAGGACACATCTGGTAGATTTTGCAGTCTGAGACTGTAGTTCGAAAATACAACCTGAAAGTCGCCTACCGAACTGCATGACCATTTAACGGTTTCAATAATTGGTATATAACACTGTCAGTTGTTTTGAGCGCATTTGTCAACTTCCTGGTCTATTTTGCTGGAGCACCTTCATGTTTTAAACAAGCATGTAACCTAAATTTAATTGTTGCTATAAAAAGCTATGAAACGTTCATTTAATCAAAATTGAAAGAAATTTCTTATCAGTGATTCAAGGAGAAATTATGTAACTCTATCTTTTAAATAGATTATCGGATTTTCACATGATCGTAAGAAAAATCTTTGCTTATTTTGCACCAATGCTTATTATGGTAAGATAGATGAAATTCATTGCAGCGGGATATACCAGTATATACATGGCAAGTACCCGTGCATTGACTTCCATCTGTCTTAACGGGCCATACTATAGGTGTCAACGATCTTTCTAAGCTTGCACGGTAAATTTTTGCCGAGTAAACAGTATTTGAAATGTAGCGTTGACTGGCTGGATAGGAAAGCTGTTATTCTAATAGTTATTGCAGAATATTCGCGTTGCACTTCATTTCAAAGATCACGTTCTCTAAAACTGATGGTACCATCTGACGAAATTTCAACCAGAACGATTCTTATACCGCCTGTTTTTAAAAAATGTTGTCCGCGCCTATAAATTGTTAAATATAAGACTTGTCAGGCACACTACGTACTTTATGTGGGAAAATGTACAGGCAAGGTGCCTCTGCACATTTAAAGGTTAATTTTGTCATTTAATAACCGTAAATTAAAGCAAATGTGTATGCTTTCCATGTTATCAAAATTTATTCTAGTAGTTTCTCTTCACTGTTCAATGATACTGCACTTATCATGGCTTCAAAATCAAACCAACTGACTAATAAAATTTGTTACTGTTCGAGTTCATTTACAGGGACAGCAGAATGTTTACCAAAATACTGTAAGGGCATTCTTACGGAGAGAGTGCTCATTGATTGTGAAACGAAACAAAGCACCTGATTACGAAAGCATTAAATATCGCTCTTTTTGAGCACCATGTTTGGAAATATTGTAGGTATTATAGTATAAAGAATATGGTTTCTTTATGTGTGCGATGATATGATGCTTTAGTAAGCCACAAAAATTGGAAAAGGATGACAACATTGCCATAATCAAAGCAGATAAAGGGAATGCATGTCATGGATAAAAAAAATTTTCTTGCTAGCTGCGCAGAACTACTTAACAAGTCTGCTAGACGAATATGGAATAAAACGGTTGCTAGGGTCCCTGAAAAGTGATTACAACTACGGAAAATAAAAATCAAACGAGCGCTATCTAAATCCGATTATTGAAGCTTCGCTACAAATGCAATTAGTCGCTCCTGAATTGCAGTACCTACCACAGACCAAATATTCCTATACGACTTTGCACCATCATGTATTTTGGCTGTGGTTGCACAATTGCTTTGCTCCATCGTTCAGTCGTACACGGGTAAGTTGAAGTCATATGTGAAAATTCAGAATAGTTCCTTGAAGAGACTGTGCTTCGAGTGAATGACAAAGATCAAATTATGGTGAGCTAGAACATAAATGACCTCTTCATTAATATCCCTGTTGAAATTATAATTGAGCGAGTCAAAGAACAATTGACAAAATGTATAAGCTTCAGAACAAAACACCTTTGTCCATGACATCCATTCTTAAGCTGCTCAGGATATGTCTCCTTGGTTTCAATTACTTTTAGTTCAATTGCCAATATATCTCAGTACAAAGGAATCTATATAGGATCGCCTCTGTCTCCTGCTCTGGCTGATATATTTATGGAACATTTGGAACACTGGGCCCTGACTACGGATGATAATGATGCCTACCCAAACTTTTTCAAAAGGTATGATGTTCACATATTTGTCTTCTATAAAAATGGGACTGAAGCGCCGCCTTTTAAACATCTAAACAGCCTATGGAGAAAGAAGAAAACGGCACCCTACCCTTATTGGATGTGCGAGTAAAACACCACCAGCAAGGATATTTGACCTCTGTGTTTCGCAAGAAGACGCATACCGATAAGTATCTGCATAACTCTTCTAATCATCCAGATTGCGTAAAGAAAGGTTTTGTCAATACTCTTCTCCAAAGAGGCCAGAAGACATGCACAACAGATAATGATTTCGCCAAAAACTAAGTCACATCAGATCCACGCTAAAAAAGAACGGCTATCTGGTGAAGACTTTTAACGAAGGCTTGACAAGTTTATCAAAATAAAGGGCGTTTCGCCGCTCACCTGATGACAGCGTCTATATTTCCTTGCCATACGTTCGCCAACTGAGTGCAAAGCTGCGACGTATTGGATCTGCGTTCGAACTTAACTTGGTATTCAATTTGGTACAACTCCACGTAGACGACTAAGCCACCTCAAGACCCAAAAACCTCAGGAGCAGAAAGCCGGTTGGGTGTACCAATTCACGTGCGACTGTAGTACGGTTTACATGGGCGAATCGTACGGGTAACACAGTTAAAGAAAGGAAGACTACGTGAGGAATCTTATCAGGTGGAAGAATGCTGGAAGGGGGTCAGCAGCAGCAAACCGATAGATGCAGGAAAGACGAAAAACCCCGAACTTATAAAGACAGAATGCGAGAAAACTTCTGCCACTGTGGAAATGCTGTTACCCACCAACATAACATGTCGTGGGAAAAAAATGAATGGTGTCACTGTCGAGAACAACAATACCTTTCCAACAAAATCAAAGAAGCATTACTTATCCGCACAACCAAATGCATCAGTTGTGATCTTGGAACAGACGTCAGCGATACACTGACCGAAAACATCAGCCAGCGCTAAAAACCAGAAAGTAAACGCGGCACGACTCTGATCAACCAGACCTGTATGAAAACATTACGTGCCATCCTCATTGTAAAGTACTCTATAATTCTCATTGTACTAATATCGAGTGAGATAAGAAACGTTAGATCACCTTAACTAGATATTTTATGCGTTTTCTTCCCGCTTGCGACTTACCAAAACATCGTGTTACTGTATGGTATATTGCAGAAGAGTTTGACGCAGCTGGAAAATAAAAATGTCATTTTTGCTGTCAAACTGCAATGTTATGTAGCCTTCTAACGAATCAAATCAGAACGCATATCAAGTTGTATAAAATCTGGTACTTCTCGAAATATGCCAAAATACTGTCATACGAATCAAATACGATGTGATGTCATGCAATGTCTATCGCATAACTAACTGTCGCGATATGCATACATTCAGGGGATTGTAATGGATGTGAGAGCAACGAAATGGCGCAAAAACCGATGCAGTGCGAAATGATTGGCTGGCACTGAACTGAGTACCTGCCGGACAGGATGTACAATCAAGCAAACACAAGTTTTGAAGCGACACGCATTTCAGGATGCTATTTTACTGTCTGTTGCTAACTTTGCGACATTATCCTGTGCTAGTTTTACTTGCCACTCATGAAAGTAGTTGGTATTATCACTCTACAACGAATATGCCAACTGGTATATTGAAAGATCAGCAAAACTTGTACAAAGTCAACCGACGACACTGTTGTGACTAAATGGGATAGCAAAAATGTACTGCATTCCAACGCAATTTGGTTTTGCTATCAGTAGTGGCTTTGCTCTAGTCTACAGTTTCACTTATTACGAATGGTACTGCCAACGTATGGTACTTGGCTGACAACCGCAAAATCTTTTACCGTGGCTGGCTACTCCATCGACATAAGATTATCACCTTAACTGAAATAATATAACAGTAACATAGTAGTTAAACAGAAATGAAGATGTTTTCTTCGACAAAACTACCCAGTGCAATGCAAACTTTACTAACAAATAAACAGTTGCTTAGTAAAAGACAGATCACTGTTTTCAAGAAACGACATCAAAACAAAGTATCAAGGTTACATTTAACGACATGAGGTAATAAAATTAATTGTGGAAAAAAATGAAGACCTGAGTTTATTAAACAGTATAAACTCTAAAGCAGCTCAATTGAGTTCCTATAGTTTTTAAGAGTAAAATATCCTTGAAAACTATACATAAGAAATTTAAAAGTATCAAAGGGTTGCATTAAGGACAAACCATACATAAAAGGGCAACAGAATAACGCTTAACTGCGAAGCCTAGTTTGACAGATGTCACCTGTGGTGGTTTTCTTATGAAATGTTTACATTGCTCGGGCTTTCAGTGTGGATTCTTCATAGTTCCCACACGCCGAGCGCAATCATGCCAGGCCGTTTTGTCCTGGGCGGTTTGCATCCAGTTATTTCCTGCTATTTCCTCCACGTACGTCCGCCACCTCATCGGAGGTCGTCCGAGTGGTCGTTTTCCTTCTTTCGGGTACCATTCTACAATGCGCGAGGTCCATCGGTTGTCATCGAGACGTGCGACGTGGCCTGCCAAACGGATCTTCCTCACTCTCATGGTTTGCACGATATCTTGCACGCCACTCATTTTTCGGAGAGTTTCGTTGTCGATACGGTCGCGAAGAGATATTCTAAGTATCCTCCGTTCCACTGCTCTCTCCGTCATAGCCAACACGTTCTCTTTCGCCTTCGTCGGTGCCCTCGTTTCGCATCCGTACATCATTGCCTTCAACACTACGCTGTTAAAGAGGTGGGCACGGTCTTTCTGGTCCGATGTTTTGAGGACAATGATGATGCTGTAGAATTTGCGCCATCCGGTAGCCCTTCGACGCATGATCTCTGGGTAGGCCCAAATAGACAAAGTTGTTGACTTCTTCTAAGTCCGTGCCGTCTATCTGTAAATTGGCCTTGGGCATGCCGACACTTTGCATCACCTTCGTTTTTGTTGCGTTGATTCTAAGACCACTTCTTTACTTCGTTCGTTGAGCTCTTGTAGCATCTCCTTTATTGCTGGAGCATCTTTTGCGATAAGTACTATGTCGCCTGCGAAGCATAGATGATTCAGATGTTCGCAGTTGATGTTCGGACCTTCCTTTCAGTTCAATTTCCGAAACACCATCTCGAGACAGGCATTAAAGAGTTTGGGTGATAAAGGATCGCCCTGTCTCAAGCCCTTCTCTATCGGTACACGAATTGGGTCTGAGAAAAGCATTATATCGGTCGAGCATCCAGTATTCGCTTCTTTGATGATTTCGACGTAGTTCTCATCGATTTCGTCTTCTACAAGGACTTTCAAGACAGCGTTGAGTTCCACGCTATCGAATCCCTTTTCGTAATCGACGAAGAGGAGACTTAAGGATAGTTTATACTCCCTAGCGCGCTCTAGCAGTTGGTT